AGAGAGAGAGAGAGAGAGAGAGAGAGAGAGAGACACTGACTGTAGCTACAGCTATTGATGTGAGTCAAAAACTTTCCTTCATCTCTGACCAAGGAGTTTTACGTCTTCTGCTAGCACTCATGAAACTATGGTAGACTAACATGTTAGCTTTCAAATAGAGTAAAAATCAAACCCTTCCCAGATCTTAGCATTTTTGGTGACATGGATGGGATGCTGACAGAGATGTGGTTTTATGTAAGATATAGAACGACAGCCTCCTAAACCAATTTACAGGGTTTGACAGAAGTACTGGAAATCAACAGTGAACATGCCTATTGCCTATTAACGATGCAAAATTGGAGAGGCAGCTGCAGGCTGAAGTAGATTTAAGGACAGTGCCACCAAGTGGCTCAGTTGGTTAAGAGCTCGCTCAAGAGTATGAGCTCTGAGCAACAGCAGTTCGAATCCCAGCCGGAGCTGAGCTGCCGCTGAACTGCCAACAGGTGGCAGGATGGCTCAGATAAATAAATAAATAAATAAATAAATAAATAAATAAATAAATAAATAAATAAATAAACAAACAAACAAATAAATAAATAAATAAATAAATAAAATAAAGACTGCCACAGAAGGTGTCATGGTTGTTTTGAATTCTCTCTAGGCAAGGGCCCTTCCTCACAAATCTGACCATCAGCCTCAGATTGGCCCCATTGTAACAACTATTACTAAGACCCATCCTGGTTGGACAGAGGATTCCTCCTGATTTCAGACAATAGTAACAGAGATGTGCAACTACACTGAGTGTGAAAGGAGGGAAATTTACAACCCCTATGGAGAGAAACCAGTGAATAATGATAAGTTTAGCTGATTTGTTTGGTTGATGAGGGAGTAGAGTGCACAACTGTTTGTTAAGGTGAAATGACAACAGCTGGGCTGTCTGAGGGTTGTAATGAAATTTATGACACAGACTGCTGGTCCTTGATATGCTGTCTTGGACGTTGTCAAAGCCTTCTTTTGTATCACATGAGCTTCTCCTGCACTCATCACATCAACCTTAGATCCATTCTAAGAAAAAGTAAAAAATGTCAGTTGTTTTGCAGTGTGTCTTGACTGCTATAAGGCAATTGTGACCCACTCAGGAAGAATTTCCTAAGATAGACATATTCCTGTGTGAAACCATCAGTGAGACATTGAATAGAATTTAGACATGTGCTGCCTCAGAAAAGGAGGTAAAATGACCTTGTGGGTGAGGCTTTGGATAATTTCAATGTACTTCGTTGTGGCTTCAATATACTAATGCTGTGGCTCCAATTTTGAAATACATAATTCGTAACTATAATTTGCAAGCTTGTACTGTATATGCTCCTAAACTTCAAAAGTAATCATGGAACACATAAATTGCTACCCACACTGTTTCCCTGTATCTTCTTGTGTGGTACAACAGAATCCCTGGAGGAGAAAGGAAAGCCCTAATTTTTGATAACGCACTTAAAGGAAGCAAGGGAAGTAAGAGATGCAGTATCTCAATTCAACAGACCTATGTCCAGTGAAAAAAGTTACAAGGAGTTTCAGCTGGATTAACCAACTGAATTCAGTCATTGCTCCTATAGCCTGGCTGTTCCAGACATTGTGATGAATGAAATTATGGCACAGAAGGCTGATACTTGATATTCTGTCTTGCACATTGCCAAAGCCTTCTTTTGTATCTCATTAGCACCCAAAGACAAAGGTCAATTCTCATTCGTGCTGCAAGGCTGCAAATAACCATTTGCAGTACTCCCCCAGAGGTACCTAAGCTTCTCTGCCATTTACTACAAGGCAGGCTGGTCAGGATGTATTGTACCTACCACTACCCACTGATGCCCAAAGCTTTCACTGATAGATGAAATTCAGGTGGCTGGAGGGCCGGAAGTCTCAGGCTCAATGGCTCTGACTTTGGTGGTGTCACACCTTCATTAGCTCCAGTGACTGATAAAACCCAACAAAATCGAAAAGGCTGCTCATGAAGTTTTGGGAGACTATGCAGACAGATTTGCAGTGTTCCATTCCTCTGGCAGTTAAGAAAAAGTGGTACAAAACTTGTCCCTGATGTTAGTTGAAACAACCATGACACTACCTCATCCCTGGAAAGCGCTCTGGTCAGCCTGTCACTGATCAGCATCATCATGGATGACAGAATTGCCTGAAACTTTCTGCTTGTGGGTCAAGGTAGAATATATGCAATTGCTAATGCATTCTGTTATACCTGAATTAATATCTCAGGTTAAGTGGAAAAGTTAATACAAAAATTTAAGGAGAAAGCTATCTTGCTTTCTAAGGCATCTAGACCCTGGGGGCCAAAGGATTTGTTTGGTTGGCTGGGTCCAGGACCTTGCTGGCATGGTTGAGTCCAATACTGTAGATGGCATTATCATATTGCTTGGAGTTCTGTTGATATCAGCCTTAATAAAATACTGTATGAAACAAACTGAATGGATTGAGTCCCAATCTGCGTTGATTAATCATAGTGGCAAACAACATGGTGTACTCATGGAAAAATTTGTCATTATGACCTCTGAAACTGTGTCATGTTTTGGCTTGTGAATGGTCTAACATTATCACAAAATCTACTTAGTAATAGGCTGATAGTTAATGTCTTTGCACATCTTAATATTTGTATTTTATTTGGCTCACATGTTTTCTGTTCCTTCTTACTGTCTTTTTTATTATAAATCAAATTTTTCAAATTAATATACTCTTTTACTATTCTTTTAATTATTCTTTTACTGGTTACCCTAAAAGTTACAGCATGCATCCTTGACTTTTTACAGCATAAAAGAAATGATTACATTTACCATATTCTCATTAATGCCAGAACCTGAAAATTTTTAATCCAATTGTAACCTCTTTTGGAGATCCATTTCTCAATATCTATTAAAACTGAAGATATACACAATAGCAATTCCCCTTTAACGTCTAACCCTAGATCAAATTTTACAAATGTACACAAGAAGATATGTACAAGATAATTGTTACTGCATTGTTTGGGAGAGAGTTTAGAAAGTAGAGACAACTTCATGTTTAATATGATATCATTAATGTGATAATGGATAAATAACAGTAGTATATTCATAAAACAAAATCCCAAAGCATAGCTAAAATTCATTAAATAGAGATCAACATAAATCTGATAAACATAATTTCAGATGAAAGGAACAAGATTATGTACAAAATGACACATGAGTTTTAGAAATAGATTGTACATAGATAGGCAGATAAGCAGTAAAAATATACAAAGGTGGAAAGATACACTATAACTTTGGAATAGTGGTTACTTATGAGAAGGGAGAATGAGAAATGGGATAAGACAGGGAGGGTTCAGAAGTCTTACAAGCTTTTATGTGTTAAAAAAATATTGATGCAATGATGGTAAAGTGCTCATTTTTAAAATTTGAGCAAACAGTAGTTAGGTATTTAAAACCTGAGCAAACACTATTACTCCTTCTACTTCCTGCTTTCTGAAATATTTCATGAGTACATTAAAGAAAACTTTCATTAAAAATTTCAAAATTAGTACACTGAGCAGAAAAGGTACCTGAAAGTATAGTTGCCTCAGTGGGTGTTAAGAAAAACTGATGTTCTAGATATATAGGCAAAAATTCAGCGGCTCCAACCAAAACTAAAGATTCTGAAGCTCTGGTCAGAGATAGGCACACAAACATTGGAGACTTCATCAAAACCTGAAATAGAAATAAGTTACATATGGATTATTTTATTTTGTTAGGTAAAGAGAAATAAATATACCCACTCATATATTAATGACCAATCCACAAAATTTTTTACCTTTCCCAATGTAAACTGACAATATGTATGTATAAAAATCAAAGCAGAAATTTACAATTCACCAACATACACATACCATAAAACACATGTAGTGTTTGAACCATTTTTATTTGTAATTTGATCTCTGTATCACCTTTAATTTTTATTTGTGGGTTTGGCAGTTTGCCAGAAAGATTGAGGCAAAATAGATGTCATTAACCAGGTATTTAAAATTTCCCTTAACTTGTTTAGCTATTTTTTTTTTAGCAAATCATTTTATTTAACAAAGAAAAATAAAGAAATATTAAGTAACACTAAAGGAAAATTACTAGGATTGCGGTCAAGATTCTATATTATTTTATTCCTGGGAATTTCATATCCATAAAGAGTAAAGTCACTTAAATTCAGCATTTTAGTAAATTTTCTGAACGTATTCAGAAACCTCACCAGGTCATTTAGTAATGGTTTACTATTACCTATTATACGATTACACTACAGAGTAATTAACATAACAGCAAATTACATTGAAATATTAACCTTCAGGGCCGGCTAAGTGGGGCTTTGGTTGGGAGTTGGCTTGGGAGGCCAGCTCTGAGCAGCAGGGCCCCAGTTCAGATCCCACATGACAGCCACTAACACTGCGCCCTCTACAGCTAAGATGGTGAACAACAGCTCAGCCTGGAGCTGGACTGCGGTGGGTCGTCAGCAATGGCATAGGCTGCAGTGGGCTTCCATAGGGACAGGCAAGTATCATGCGGTAAACATACAAGCCCATGACATACGCAGAATCCGCTCTGTAACTGTGTTTTCAGCATTAGGGTAAGTAGAAAGGTCTCTGATGAACTAGATCAGTGATTCTCTAAGTAGAGTTCTAATTTCCAGAGTTTTAAAATGGCTGTTGAAAATTTTGCCAGTTTTCAACACTACTTTTTTGGAGGTAAAGATTTTCCAAGCTCCTCATTCTGACATTCTCAACGTCCCACCTTCTAATAAAATTTTTTTAAAAATTAAGATATCTTCTAGCTACCCACCCAGACAGGTGACAGTCAGAAATCTAAGACTGTTAAACAGGAATTCTATTTTTTTGTATCCTAACAATAATAATTAAAGCACTCTATTTCCAAGAGAGAAAGAGATTGGAATTGGCTTGCTTTTGTTTTTTTTCTTCTTGAACAGAAGTTATTTTAAAACAAAAAACAAACAAAAAAACCCCAAAACATTCATGTTTTAATTTTCTGAAAAGTGTTTTTAACAATTATATCTTAATTTTTAATGTATGAGAGTTGTACCTATTTACTTCTATATTGTTAAAATATATACATGTAATATTTTGGTAAAAATTTAAATTAAACAGAAGTCTGAACGAAATAGAATCCATATTTATAAGGGTTCACAATTTGATAAAAAGATAAACACTTGTATTTGAATGAAAACAAGTAAATAAAATTCCTAATTATATACAACCTATCTATGCATTTTAAGAATGAGACAAATATAATAAAAAGCACTACCTATATGTGTATCCAATATATACATGTTATGTTATATTGCAAAAAAATATCTGTGGAATCATTAAGGAGGGAGAAACTCATTTTTCCTGGGAATTTAAGTTATGACTTGACAAAGAGGTTTTTTTTCTCAATGGAGAAGAGAAAGAACATCTGAAGTAGAGAGACTGGCATCTACACATGTACAGAATTATAAAAGTACCTAATGTGTCCATGAAAGGGCAAGTGGCTGGAGTGTAGGGCAGAGAGGGATGAAATCTGAGGTGAGGCGGAAAAACTCAGTGGGCGCTACTGTAAGGAGTATTCAAAGTCCCACTAAAGGAGTGTGAAATTCATCTACCAAGTAATCAGGAAAATGACTTGATAAGATCTACATGTAAGAAATACAATTCTGCAGGCAACATAAAGGATGAAGTTGTGCACAGAAGAGAAAACAAATTCAATGTAGAATCATTATCAAGAAGTTGGGTATTTTTAACCCCACTATGTCTGTATTACAGGCCTTGTTTCCCACCTAGAGAAACAAAAGGTTCTTTTCTTTTCTTTTTTTTTTTTTTTTAGGCTGAACCATCCTGCCACCTGTTGGCAGCTCAACGGCTGCTCAGTTCAGGCCGGGAATTGAACCGCTGATGCTCAGAGCTCAAACTCTTGAGTGAGCTCTTAACCAACTAAGCCACTCAGCTGGCCCAAAAGGTTCTTTTCTATTTGCTACTAAGAGGGGATATTTTCAATAAAATACGATGTTTGTGAGAATATGTGTTAACTCCCAGAGTTCTCTTTAATGTCATTTAAACATAATAAAAAGATAAATAATGTTTATACTTGTATGTCATCTCATTAGATTTCTTATTTATTTCTGCAGGAAAATAATAAACACATGGGTCGGCCAAGTGGCAGGTTGGTTAAGAGTTGGCAGGTTGGTTAAGGGCCCTGGTTTGGATCCCACATGGGCCAGTGATGCTGTGCTGGTGAACAACAGCTCCACCTGGAGCTGGGCTGCCATGGGTCATCGGCAATGGCGTAGGCTGTAGTGGGCTGCCACAAACTACCGTGAGTGGCTGGCAGCCAGCGTGAGGAGCCGGAAGCCGGCGTGAGTTGCCATGAGCTCCTGTGAGCGGCCGTCCAGTGGCCAGCGACCGAACTGCCTCACCCGGCAAGAGCGCAATGATAATACCAACATGGGCC